CTCAAGTCGAGGTAAAGTTTCCCATAAGGTTCAATGTAAATACGGTTAATCCGTTCCGCCTCCGAATTTGGTCGCAGCACGAGGCAAATTTCCCCATAAGGTTCAATGTAAATACAGCTAAACAGTTCTGAAACATATGCATTTTATTTTTAAACCTCAAAAACCTTCCAAACGCCACAAAACACACCACAAGCCTCACTGAACGTCTCCTTGCTACCACGATCTCGCTCACAGGAAGCCGCGACCACGTGTCAGCAGGGAAAATGGCCGCGGATCCGGTTCGTAAGTAGAGGCGGAGTTCGCATGTCAAGGTAAATTTTTGGGGCCGGAGCTGGTCGTATCTTGAAAAATTCGTAAGGAGAGGCGTTCGTAACTAGAGGTACCACTGTATCTGCTACTTGAGGTTTACACCCTTTCTGCACTGGAGGAAATTGTATTCAGTTACATTAGGTAGCATACCAATCATTGCAAGACATATGTACAAACATACATAAAATTCTACTGACAGTTCTTTTCTAGCCACACTTCGGGAAGCCTATCGATGCACCCTTCGTGCAGCCTGCTCAGCATCTCTCTTTAGGTAGGATTGGGTCATTGTCTGCTTTCTCCCTGCCTGCGAGTTAATTTAGGCTGTGCTGCTTTGTTTTGCTTTCTGAGATGAAGAACGAAGTTCAGTATTGGAGTTTATTAGATATTTTTTAAACAGAATGTTTATAGATTCAATGTAAGGGCCGTGTGACCACTCCAGGGCAGCATGCATAGCTGTCAGCCCTTTGAAGTGGACCAGGTCAGGAAAGAGAATCCACAAAGACTACTGGAACTTTACTTTATTGTTGCAAAATATAATAACAGAATCTTGAAAGCCTCTCTCTCTTCCCGCTCTTATGCAAAGAACCATCAAGGTGAAGCAATCCTCAGTTTCTTTCTCACTCTCTCCAGTGTTTCTGGGCTAAGCTGGTGTCCACATAACATAATTTTCTCCATACACCTCTACAACAGCATGAATACAATATAAACATCATGTTAAAAAGTATGTGTACAAAACATCCCAATGTGTGTCAGCCTGCTGTCACTTCATATTTCCTCATCTCTCGTGAACTTAATGTTATCCTGACAGAAAGCTATTTCTTTCCTCTTACACCTTTTCCAGGATACATATTGTCCTCTTTTAGGCAAAATCAACAATATGTATCCTGAAAAAGGTACCAAAATTCTGTGTATTCTGAATTTTGGTACCTCTGCTACCAAAATTCTATACTGGCTACCTTATATGCTTTCTGGAGGAGAAAGCAGAGCAATCTTTTACTGAACCAAGAACCACATATGGCTTTTGTGGGGCAAGCTGAGGGTCACATTTCATAAAGTGGCAGTGCCAAGAGAAGTAAGTGGCCAGGGGCATGATAAAAATTAAATTTGATTTTCTCAAATACATGTTTAAGTTAATTGAACATAATTTAAATTAATTAGATTGAATAGATTAACTGCAATATAATGGCCATGTGTTTCATCACGTCTCAGCAGGTGGTGGCACCTAGCACCTAGCTAACATTGGGTTATATTAAAAAAAAAAACCTTTATGATTGTCTATCAGACTGAGATAAAATTGTTAAAACAGGGAACAGCATAGCTCAGAGCCTTTGAGAAATAATATCCATGATGCTTTGTTCTTGCTTTTTGCCATTAGTACAGGTACTCCTCTCTAACTGACTGCAATTAGGACTGGCAACTCCGTCGCTAAGCAATGCGGTCATAAAGTGAAACATCACATGACTGTGTGTCACAGGTTCTTTTTTAAACTATAGCCAATTATACTGACACAGACTCAAAAGAGCCACAGAAGCACTGGACTCTGGACAGGTGTTTTTTATATCTCCATATAAGGGTTGGGGAAATGTTTTATTTTGAAAAAAACAAGATACAAAAGTGAAATATGAAACTTACAAGTCTATATGTGAGTGTTTTCTATTGCTCTACCCTATATTCTATTCTATGACTATTATTTCTATATTACTATGCTAATTACTATTACTATAACAATATTACTATTGAATTACTATTACTATTATAGTATTTCTTCTATGCCCTATAGT